TCTTAATGGGTTAAGGGAGGTGGTGCCCCAGTTTTATGGCCACGTACTACATGCCCTGGGCCAGAACAACCCTGCTTTAGCGTTTTTGGCATATTTTTTTTTTAGAGGAAGGATTCTACTCCTAAAATAAAAATTTCGTAGACCACTGTCTGAAGGGCTGTAGGACTGTGACAGGTGCAGAGATGTGAGCGGCAGGCTCATGTCAGAAATGATGAACTGCATTGATTATGTCATGGACCCCAAGGCTAGAGATGGGTGACGGGAACCTGCACTTCAGCCTAGCCAAGGAGAGCTGTGTTGTCAAGGAATTCAAAACTTTGCCCACCTGAAGGATTCTCATTCTTCTCTCAGCACTCTTAGAGTGTCCCTTCTGTGGTGATGTGAAGAAACTTCACAGCCCATGGGCGGCAGTTGGCTCCGCCTTCTCCCTTGACTCTGTAACTCCTGCCAGCACCGCTCCTCACTGTATTGAATTAAGTGTCTATGAGCCTGCCTGTGCAGGGTTCTTCAACTCAGTTTCATGGCTGTTCTCCAGGGAGTGACAACCCTTCCCCCCAAAACTATATTTAAAATTTGGAAACTAATGTGTCTATACATTTTGGGGGAGGGCGTGGGCCCAGGTTTTTAAAAGAGACTATAACCCCAAGAGATCCGGTCCCCACTCCTGGAGTTTCTGCCCTAGTTTACTTTTGGGTCAGTGCACAAGGTGATGCGGATGCTGCTGTCCCTGGGCCCAGTTTGAGAACCATTGTTGTAGTCTGCTCTAAGTGGGGAGTACCACATCCTCTCCCTTTCTGATTTCATAATAACCTGAGAAATGAATGTCCATAGATAAGGACCTTTAACCTCCCAAACTGGGTAGAGATCTGAAGGAGTTGTGTATGTAGATCGAGTTACATGTTTCACACACTATGAAAGCAGCATAATCACACACTGTGACAGTTCTGGACCCCATAGACTCAGGGTAGTTGAGCCCCATCGTGCTCAGGAAAACGCAATGCCCTTGAATATTTAAAATTCAAACTGGTGAATTCTCCTGGTTACAAAACATGGTGTTTCTGATGGCCTAGGAGCAGCTCCATTCATGACCATTCGCCAATTTGAGTAATACTGGGCAGAGAATCTTGCTTTTGATAGAAAATCAAAACTTAGCTCTTGTAGCTCTATCACGTGGAGAAAGATTGATCTTAAGCATGTTGAGCTGACTTTAAAACCAAGGCCGTGAGCCAGATCTGTGCAAACCTCTTTCTTCTAAACCAGGAGTGGGGGACGGGGACTGGCTGTCCGGTAACCAGGCTAATTTCATTGTACTGTGAAGGTGACGGTCTTTTCACCAGTGGTGCTTTAGGGCAGTCAGTTCCCTACCCTTGTGGGCTGCCCCCAGCTCATGTGACCACTTGGAAAAGCTTAGTGAAGCTGAAGAACAGTGAACAGCTCTAACCATTGAACCATCAGTTTAAAGAAGAGTAGAAAATAGGCGTTTATACTCTTAACCAATAATTTAGTGGGTAGATGATGTGACTGCCCATGGACTCCCCTCAAGTCTCCCAGTCCCCTCTCTTCTGTTATTTCTTTTAATATCTCCTTTTTCTCTTCATCTTCCTCCGATGTTTCCTCCATCTCTCCGTCTTCTTCCTCCCTTATCTGCAGGTGTCTGTCTCTAGTGCCTCTTTCTCCCCCCATCTTCTTCCCTCATCAATCTCCCTTTCAGCCTTATCTCCTCTGACAACTTCTTTATTTCCTCTTCCTCAGGGCCACGTGTCGAAGGGGGGGCATTGTGCCAATTATTTGTATTTGAAGCAAGAGCTTTTTGCCTTGTTTTTAACTTGAGTAGCAGGTGAGTCACTCAGGGTTGACCCCTTTTCCGTGGAGTCAGTGGTTTGTCCTGGAAAGTGCTCCCTGCTACTGCGAAAGACCTCTGCCCAGCCAGGTCTCTAAGGAGTCGTTTCGTTAAGTGACCTAAGGGTTTGTACACGTTTCAAATCTTCGTAATCCTTGAGACTGAAGAAGACAGACGCGTCATTCTTCCATGAGGTCTCTCTGTTGTTGAAATCAATCCTGTAGGCTTTCCTGGTTAACATGCATCATTCATCTCTAACAGAAATGTTGCTAATAAACTCTCCACAATTTACTCTGGTTGAATAGTGGTGATCACAGATCATAACAGGGCATCCTAGAGAAGAAAGAGTTCCAGCAGATGAAAGCCTGCCTTCTAACCCGGCTTGTTACTTGGGGGGAGTCGGGGGGGGGGCGGCGGCACTCTAGGCAATTAACTCTATTTGTCATCCTCAGTTTCCAGCCTCAGTAAAACAGAGCAATGGTTTCATGCCTACCTTTGGCATTAAGGGGTGTTAGAAGATAAAGAGAGGCACATTAAAATTTTTAAGAGTTTATTTGAGCAAAACTCAGTTCAAATCAGGCAGCGCCAAACTGGAAATGGTTAGTAGCATTCAGCTGACAGAAGCTGGGGAGAGACTTATATAAAGGGCAGGAACAAAGAAATTATTTGATTGCCTATAGCAGTGATGGCAAACCTATGACACGCGTGTCAGAGGTGACACACGAACTCATTTTTTTGGTTGATTTTTCTTTGTTAAATGGCATTTAATATATAAAATAAATGTCAAAAATATAAATCTTTGTTTTACTATGGTTGCAAATATCAAAAAATTTCTATATGTGACACGGCACCGGAGTTAAGTTAGGGTTTTTCAAAATGCTGACACGCCGAGCTCAAAAGGTTCGCCATCACTGGTTTAAAGCCTGGTTGGCTATGTGTGATTAGTTGTCTTTCGTGGTTTGATTTTGTAACCATGAAGCATTTACAGGCTTAGATTTTGGTTTGCTTACATAGGCTGTCAGGGCTTAGAGCACCTCTGTCTAATGCAGTGGTTCTCAGCCTGTGGGTCGCAACCCCTTTGGCGGTCAAACGACCCTTTCACAGGGGTCACCTAAGACCATCGGAAAACACATATATAATAACATACTGTTTTTGTGGTTAATCACTATGCTTTCATTATGTTCAGTTTGTAACAATGAAATTGGGGGTCACCACCACATGAGGAGCTGTAGTTAAAGGGTCGCGGCCTTGGGAAGGTTGAGACCCGCTGGGACATGTGGTCCAATAGCGAACCACATGCAAGTCCAGAGAAACAAAGGAGGGCAATACTCTTTTATGGACCTGGGGTTGGGGCTGTTGTAAAGGAAGGTCAACACACCAGCACATTCCTTTTCTGGTGTGGCCTTCCCCCTGGTACATAGACGGTCCTTTTCTCTCTGTATCCTCCCTTAGCACTAGAGACAAGAGAGCTCTCGGGGGTCTCTCTTAAAAGGGCACTAATCCCACTCATGAGCGCTCCACCCTCATGACTTAATCAGCTCCCAAAGTCTCCACCTCCTAATATCATTACATTGAGGATTAAGTTTCAACATAGCAATTTTGAGGGGACACTAACATTCAGTCTATGGCAGAGGCTTTTATGACCACATCCCTTCCATTCACATGCCATTGGCCAGAAAGTCATATGGCCACACCTAACCATGGGGAGGCTGGGAAATGTAGTCCGACTGTATTTGGAGGAAAAGAGACAGATTTTGGGATCAGGTAATAGCTTCCGTCACAATATCTAATTTAGATGCTACATATCAGATGTCTTTCATATATTCTTATATTAATTTATTATTGTTGTAATATACAAAGCATTTGTTGATATTAGATGCTTTTTTATTAATATTTTCAGAAATAATCTTGCTCCGTGTATGTGTGTGTACCTATTTTACCACTTCACATACTGTGTTATATAGTTAGTTAGATTACGTATTTCTATCCCTGACCTCACCGTTAGTGCCTTGCAAATGGGAAGTGACCAGTAAACACTATGGCAATGACTGGCAAAGACGAGAGAGATTTTTACTGAGAAGAATAACTTTGGGAATAGTTAGAAAAGGCATGTTGTCTCTTTTCTTTCCCCACTTGCTTGTTGCCTCTTTCCCCTTCTCAGTGCATGGTAGGGATGGCCATCTCTACCCGTGAGGTTCACCCATAAGCCCTGGTTTAAGTAGTGCTTTTATTCTCCCCCTGTTTGCCTGGTTTTTCTGTGTTTAGATATTACATAGCTAAGTTGTAAATATTTCAGGATAGACAGGGATATTTTGAGACTCAGAGATGAGTTCTATAGAGTCTTATATGAAATAGTGAGCCCTGTGGATGCTTTCAGCCCTGAGCCAAGGAAAGGTGGTCATGGCTGGAGCCACTGTGGGCATCCAGCCTCCACTGCCAGACCATGGCTGGAGCCCTAAGTGGGCATCTCTGGCAGAGCCTAAAGCTTGGGAGGGGACTGACCTCGCCAGGGGTGACCCAAGACATGACTGGAAGTTCCACCAGAATCCATCGCCTCCTTTGTGTTTAAAGAATTAAACAAGAACGACTATATATAGACAGAGTGCCACAAAGTGTCTTCTTTTTCTTTGAAAACAACTTTTATCTCTCGGTTCTGATTCTTCCTGGTAGCGAAACTAACACACTCTAATTATAGAAAAGTAGGAAAATGCAAACACATATACAGTAGAATTTACAGAGTTCTTTAATCTTAAGAAATTGCTTGTGTCTATAGAATGTTCCACCCTAGCCAGTGTTGCTAAGTGGTTAGAGCATTGGTCCAATCACCAAAGGGTCAAGGGTTCAATTCCTGTTCAAGGGCATGTACCTGGGTTGCAGGATTGATCCCAAGCCCTGGTCAGGGGCATGAGGGAGGCAACCAGTAACTATGTCTCTCTTGAATTAATCTCTCTCTCTCTCTCTCTCTCTCTCTCTCTCTCTCTCTCTCTCTCTCTCTCTCTCTCTCTCTCTCTCTCTCTCTCTCTCTCTCTCCCTCCTTCTCTCCTCCCTCCCTCCTTCCCTCCCTCCCTCCTCTCTCTGAAAATCAATGGAAAAAATATCCTCATGTTGAGAATTAACAAAACAAAAATATTGTTTCAAGTCCTTATCTTTCACCTTCCAGGCCAAGCCAAAGCTGATTGAGCCCCTTGACTATGAAAATGTCATCGTCCAGAAGAAGACACAGATCCTGAATGATTGTTTAAGGGAGATGCTGCTCTTCCCTTATGATGACTTTCAGGTAGGTAACTTTTCAGTTTCTGTAAAGGGAATCATGCAGTTGATCTTTACAGTTATCATTTATCTATTGCTCTATCATTTGTTTAATTTAGGATTTTTAAAAGATGAACAGATGATGTTATTTAAGAGGGGAAAATATATTCTTCAGGCATTCTTTCATGAGTTGATTTTCTTTAATGGCATTGTTTTTGCATATAAATGCAGATGTGAATTTATATGTTATATATGTATGTATATGTATGTATGCAAACATAAGCATATATATATAACATAGATGTCATATATACGTATAAATGTGTGTGTGTGTGTTTTATCTTGAATACAAGTACTATTCTGTGTTCTGCTTTAATGGGCAAGTGCCTCCTATGTCTTGTGAGATTTATTTGGAGAGGAATTTAGGTTTTTTTCCTAGTGCCTTAGAGTCTTAAGGTTGAGATTTGCTGGGGAGAAGCAGAGGATTTTGTCACGCATCCTTTTAGGGAAGTGCCACGAGAGAGGCTTTGAACTGTGTGTGAGCTCACAAAGAAGGGTTTGGGGTAACAGGTGTGTCCTGACACCTACCTCTCCGGTGCAGTGGCAGGTGCTGTTCTTTGGAGCTTAGTAGCTGCCAGCAGAGGACTCAGCACAGCTCCTGCTCTGAGCTGTCCTCTAGATTGTTGCCAGAAGCCTTTCAGATTATGGTCTGCGGCTGAGTGACTCACAGGAACTCTGAGGGTAGTGAGGAGCTAGAACATTCTTCCCCCAGGAACCCCATACAGTGGTGTTAGATACCTTGTAACCTGGACTTACCTCGGTCTATTTGGAGGTCTGGTTACTTCCCTCGCTCTCCTGGAACCTAATCGCCTTCTCTACCTCGAGGCTGCTCTATCTGATTCTTCTATTACTGAGCCCTGTCTTACGTGAATTGAGCTGCCTTAGTTTTTTTAACAACTTCATTGATGCCTTGTTGTTTAATTTTAAAAGTACTACATACTTGTAAACAAACAAAGAGGCACCATTGGAATACTTGACATTAAAGCCTCCCCCACCACCTTCTTTCTAATCCCACTCTCAGAAAACCTATTATATACAATTCTGTGCACACTGAATTGTCTTTAGAAACTTCCATGTTCATGATAATTGTTGAATTATATTCCTTAACATTTTCTTTCCCCACCAAATTTAAGAGACTTCAGTTTACAACAAGGCTGAGAATTTTCACAAATGTTCACTTTTTCTAACTTTTTAGAAGTGCATATGGAGAAAATTATTGTCCTTTAGATCTTCCCTGGAAAGTAAGGATTGCCATGGAAATGAAATTGACCATTAAGTACCGTAGTGTGATGCTGCTGCCAAAATGTGTTCTCCTGATGAATGGTTTCAAATCATGCCTAAAAGGATGAGGCTTTGAAAACTTCATTGCATAGACTGCCCAGCTAAAGGACAAATAAAAGGAAACTTCAAAACCATGCCTCCTGCCTGTGATTTTGGCAACAAATTGACATGAGACATTCATCAGTTGATTACAAATTGCAATCCATGTTGACATATTTTTCCTGAAGTGTGCTCAGAGGAAGCTAAAGGTTATCTCACGTTTCTCTGAGCATGAAGCATGTATTATTCTTGGTATTAATTAGAGTAACAACATTATTTCAAGTTTTGTAGACTAGAATGAAGAGTTGTATTTGCAGCCTTGAGATAAAGTTGCTTAAGAAGCAAACAAGCCAAAGAAACAAGACATGGTTAATTTAATTTCATCTTTTATCCCAGAAACAAGGAACCTAAATGTTTAAGCAGTTGTAGAATCAAGTAATTGAAACTTTGAGAAAAACGTCTTTGTCCTTTTCACCTGTATCTACTTCTCTCGGGATACCAGGCACAAATATTCTCGGAAAGGCCAAAGAAACTCGCTGATGTTTTGCTGGCCAAGACGGAACCAGCAAGTGTTATTTTCTGTTTTGGGGAAGTTTATCCAAAGGTTAAGGAGCTTGAATTTTAGCTTTGATCCCCACCACAGTAATTGTGATGGTCTCTATTTAAATTTGGATGGTGTTATTTGTTTTTTTGGAAACTCCTATTTTCCAATAAGTAAGGCCATTTGCACTGCGCTTTCTTGCCAGTTTGTCTTGGTAATTTCAGTAACTGTCTAGTTAGCTGAATAAGGAAAGTGTCTTAGCAATGTCACAGATTCCTTATGTCTGTCCATGTTTTTATTTCCTTAGGCAGTATAGAGTAGAATTACTATTGTATTATTAGAGACAGGGAGCAAATTAGATCAGGTGAAAGTATTTTATTTTATATGGAAAAAGATAGCAAGTTGGATAATAAATGGGCCATATAATGAGCAAAGTGCACGCTGGGGGTTGATTTGCAATACTACACTTATTAGTTAAACAATATTTGGTAACTATTAAAATATAGAACATTATGTGAAGTTCTTTCAAATATATTCAGGGTAATAATTTACACTAATAAAAGACAAAGATGCTAATTGACTGTACCTTCGCTATTCCCATCAGCCAATCAGAAAGAGTATGCAAATTAACCCAACAAAGATGGCTGTTAAATTTGCAGACTGCAGGCAGGGTGGCACAGCACGAGCCACCGCCCACCTACCCGCCACCATCCGGACCTCCCGTGTGCAACCCAGGGTGGCGGGGCGGGGCATGTGCCTAAGCCAGCAGGTAGTTATTTCCTGAGGGGTCCCAGACTGTGAGAGGGCACGGGTCGGGCTGAGGGACCTGCCCCCGCCAGTGCACAAATTTTTGTGCACCAGGCTTCTAGTTTACTAAAATATAAATGTGGATAGTGATGATACATTTGTACCATTCTTGAGGACAATGTTGGTATTGGTCAGCTCCTAAAATGAGTCTTACGGAGAGATTTGTTTGTGGGATGTAATTGCCTAAGGGTCAAGGAAAAATAAACCTAAGAGACATGAAGTAAATGTGGATTTTAAAAAACAAAAGGACAATTTTCAGCTATCAGAATATTTATGAGTAAGGTTTTATTAGCCATGGCCAGAGACAGGAATGTTATGGCTAACATGGCCCTTACAAGCCTGCTACACTTCTTTTTCCAGAATCAGACCCTGGTATTTTGGGGTCTGTTCTGTTCTTTCCCTGTCTTGGATTCGGGGTACTCTTTGCCAACAAAATCTTCTTTTCCATCCTTCTAGAACAGGGGTGGGGAATGTCTGGACCTCAGGCCGTATAAGGCCGGAGAAATCATTGGGTCTGTCCCTGCCAAGGCATTAGGGGTGAGTTAATTAAAGGTTTGACCAAATATAGCAGGCTGATTTTTAAATTGATAATTTTGTGTGGCCCACGAATATTGTTGTAAATAGCCAAATAGCCTTTGGCAGAAAAAAGGTTCCCCAACAGGGGTGGGGAATGTCTGGACCTCAGGCCGTATAAGGCCGGAGAAATCATTGGGTCTGTCCCTGCCAAGGCATTAGGGGTGAGTTAATTAAAGGTTTGACCAAATATAGCAGGCTGATTTTTAAATTGATAATTTTGTGTGGCCCACGAATATTGTTGTAAATAGCCAAATAGCCTTTGGCAGAAAAAAGGTTCCCCACCCCTGTTGTAAAACCCCATCACCTTCTGAGGCCACTTTAATTCTCCCCTCCCCCGACTCTCTTATTTCCCCTAATGCTTACTGCCTTACACAGTGTACGTTGATACCTAAGTACACTGGGCTTTTCACTAATGGCTTCTTACGCATATTGTGTCCAAGTGTCTCCACTGTGCTGTGGCCCTGAGGAAGGCTCAGGCATAGTGTTGGTGCCTCTCTAGGCTCCCTCCTGCCTGTCCATCTCCGCATCCACATAACCTCTGCACACTGGGTTCTAGGGTTGGGTACTTTTAGCTTCACTTAAAATGAGTAAAATTATTGTAAATATTGGGTAGTTT